TAGAAAAACTCCAGGATGATCCTCCAAAGAATCTTTGTGTATGCTGCATTTTGTAACCATGGAACAACTTTCGATAGCTTCAACAAGTTTCTTCGAGAAGTTCCCTTCGGTATTAAGGATGATTTGGAATAGGCATATGAGAAAATGTTCATTACAGACTCTTATGTTGTTCTGAATATGTTCTTATCCTTTCTCCTCAATGTTTATCAAAAACGGCGTAAAAAAATGTAATATGGTTCTTGAAGATTGAAATTTTATACAAATGTGTTCAGAGGAGTGAAAAAGGAAACATGAGTTACTTGGTAATGTGTGTCAACATAGTAATAACACCTGCTCCAACTTTTTCTCTACTGCGATCTTGCGATAACCAATGATACGGGTTTCGACATTTCCTCGATTAGATTGTTTCAAGAAGAGCTGCATTTTCAGAAATAGATGATAAGCTTACAATGGTTTTCTTGAAAGCAATGATCTCAGAGATTGCTTTTGACTACTATACAAATGTGAAAAGGCCAATGTGCTTCTTCTCCTACACATCTACTTAATGAGCACATGCATTATGGAAGGTTGTAGGGTAAGTTTTTTTCTCTGTGGAGCTTTGATTAGAAAGGGACACAATTTTATCACCTTAAGATGGAGAAATGGGTCCAGTTTCAGTTAATGGATGATGAAAATGATGGGCATGAAATGACATAAAATAACATGAGTTGCTTTCAATCAAAACTATATAGGACACTTAAGATAGTTATGTGAGGACCCTTTTGCATTTGTCCCTTGCTAAGGTCTATTTCTTCTATTTGCTTTTGTGCATATTTTTCAGTACTAAAAACCAGTACAAGAACACAGTAAAACCATTACGGTATATAATGAAGAATTTGGTAAGTTACTGAAGAATATTTAGATTTATTGAGGATACCTCAATGTTAAAATTTGTGAATTTGCAACCAAAAGACCACCTTGAATTTGTTTTTTCTCCAGCTTTGTCACGTGACAGGTCGTATAATCACGTGTGTCATTCGGATGGGCTTGAATGGGTCAATTAACTGAAGGTAGCCCATTCTGAAATTTCAAAAGAGTTTAGGTTTTTTTTTTTTTATGAATGTGGAAATTGGGTTGTATAACCATAAAAAAAAAATTATATTTCAAAATCTAGGTAAAACCCCCTGTATGACAACATTATAGCCATTGAATTTAGGGTTTTAGCTATATATTGAAATATAATTTTTTTTTTGGTTATAGAGCTAATTGACCCAAATTAGTATGGGAAATTAGCAAAATTAACCAAAAAAAAATTATAATTCATTATCTAACTAAAAATACTATTCATAGTGTGTGTATATATATATGGACGAAAATGCCTTTTTTGATAGGATAGAATCTATACTACTTAGTTTCTATATAGATGAATATTTGTGTTAGTCTATATAGAATAGACGGACAAATAGTCTACACAGAAACCACAAAATAGATTGTCAARAATGTTAAGGATAATTTTGTAATTTTGCAATCTTTATTGGTTATTACTATATTATATTTATTACATGGTTAATTTACTAATTAATAATTTAAATTTGGATAGTATGCTAATTAACCCAATTAGTATTCAGACAAAAAAAACAAAACATTTTACAATGATTGTGACTTAAGACTTTTATCTGAAACTAAAAAAAGTTTTTCCTCAATTAAAAAATGAGTAAAAATTGATTTGTTAACGATTAATTGAAAAATTTAGGAGGAAATATTGTGTAATTTTATTTGTTTTTCTATAGTTTTTGATATTTGTCGCATATTTTTTTATATAATAATTTATATTTACGATTCGATATTAATATCGTAAGGGTAAGTTTTCATTATCTTGGTGTTTATATGATTTTATAATGAAATTTTAAAGGGACATTTACAAAAATGCCATTTTTTGTGTCCACATTTGTAAAAATGCTATTTTTGGTGTCTATTTGCAAAAATGCCACTAATTATGATTTTTTAGAGCCTAAATCTTAAAATTCTAAATCCTAAATTTTTTTTTGACCCATACATAAATGATATAATGAATAAATAATTTTTAAAAAGTGGCATTTTTGTAAAAATTGTAAAAATGTGGTATTTTTTGTAAAGTGACACTTGAAAAGTGGCACTTTTTTGAAATTTCTCAATTTTAAATATATTGTGATGTTAATAAAACAGAAAATCTTTAGAAAAAAATATGAAACCACTTTGTATGGTAAGTGCTAACATTAATAAGTAATCTGTTTCTTTTGGTTTTTTTTCCTCATCAGCCATATCCATAAATATCTGTGTGCTGAAAAAACTAATCATTTTCCATAAAAAAAAATCAGATTTATATCAAAAATTCAACCACTTACGCGAATGGGATATGTACGTATGAATGATATGATTCTCTTTTCTTTTTTTTTAGATTTGTAATTCTTATTCTCGTAGTTGCCTCTTCATCAAGACTCGTTAGATTTAAATAAAGACCACATATATATAAATAGTAGAAAAATAATTTAGAATCCTACTGAATTTAACCACTCACTTTGTATACTAGTTACTAGTTTATGCACCTTATATGAGATATATATCTAAGAGGCATGGAATCAGAAGCAGATACGGAGAAGCAGAAGCGTATTTTTAAAAAATGTTAGGAAGCGGGTACGTATTGGAAGCGTATATATATATATCATGTAAATCTAAACATAAAAATTATTTAAAACATTTTAYTTATATTACAGAAAAAAATTATAAATGTTAAAAAAAAATTTTTATTACATTTAAACAAAAATAAAGTACTATGCACTCCGAAAGTTCAGTAAAATTCAAGATCAACAATGACTATAATCAAATAGTTAACAAAATGTAAAACCACGGCTAAAAAAATAAACCGGACCAATTTGGAATTTATCTATGCAAACGTCATTGTTCACGTTCTTTAGCTATTAGTGTAATACAATTATAATTAGGATTAGGATTAGGATTATTGCTTATTGTATGTACTGTAAAAACAAATGAGCGCAGTAATGTAACAAATTTGGTCCAAAATAAATTAAAAAGCCCAAACAAATATATAACAGATCTCGTCTTCTTCTTTTTTAGGAAACCGCCAACAACGAGAACAACGTTTCCGATCTACAATAACTCGTTTCCAACTCTGAATCGTACGTTTCCACGGCGATTCCAAACTTCACTTCTTGAAAATCGTGATTCCAGTGCGATTCCGTTTCTGCTTCCGATTTCGAAGCAGGAATCGGAGTTTCACGGACGATTCCGTGCTACGTAGATCTATATAGAAAAATTCTAAACAAATAAAAAGAATGAATATTTTTCATCTTTACGACCGAAAGTTTACCTAGTTAAAACATTCTATTCGACAGATATTAAAAAACTTAATTAAATAAAAACAAACCCACGGCGTAGTTAAATTTCACAGCTGGGCCATGCATG